ATTTTGATTGGGAAGCCGGCACTTTCGATTCCTGGCCAGGGACCACAAAACGCGCAGACAGAGAGACAGCGAGACGAGCAGCAGCAAAAACATTTGGGCTCAGAGCCAACGACCAGAAGATGGAAAGGGTTGACGTTATGCGGACATTTTTCAGCGTATGCGGCCCAAGGGCAAACGCGGCAAATAGTCGAGAAATGGAAACCGGAAATGTTGTTACACGCCCATCCCCCCCCCCAAACATGGCCGTAGAAAAGTGCAGTTGCCTCACAAGCTTTGCCGGAAATGGGCGCAAATGCGACAACGAGAAGGACAAGGACGTGCAAGTGGACGGGGCGGGGATGTGGTGTGTGTATGTGTGTGTGTGTGTGTGTGTGTGTGTGTGTGTGTGTGTGTGTGTGTTGAGTGCTGTGTGATTTGTGCGCTATGCAATAATTTACATGCAATTAAATGCCCAACCAAATGCAATGAACAAGCCACACAAACGGCCGCAAATCACTTTCGCCCGCATTTCGCCATTTGAGGCAAGTGTGAAAATTGTCTTTAAGCCTCATTTTTATACCCTGAACCCAGTAAAACGGGTATAATGTATTTGGGCAAATGTATATGACAGGCAGAAGGAAGCATCTCCGACAACATAAAGTATATATACATATATATTCTTGATCAGCATTAACAGCCGAGTCGATCTAGCTGTCTGGCCGTCTGTCTGTCTGTCTGTCCGTCCGTTCGTCCATCCGTGTGTATGAACGCTAGGATCTCCTATAAGAGCTAGAGACTTGAAACGGACTACGGACCGTAGGTCCTCCGATAATCGATAACTTGCTCCGTTTCCAAGTAATCGATAAAAACCGAAATCCAAATCCTGTTTTTTGAACAAATCTCTTTAGTTATGTTGGAGCAAGCGTCATGTAGCTTTTAGCTGTCATTTCGATTTTGTTATGAATCTATAAGTTATATATAAGTATATATTTGATCGATCCCACCGACTGTCTGTCTGTCTGTCTTCATGCGAACTAATCTCTCAGTTTTAAAGCTATTGTCATGAAACTCTGCACAGATCCGTCTTTCTGTCGCGGACAGCACATATATCGGAATCAGCAGGATCGAAGCACTATATAGGAATAATTTTTATTACCTTAACTTCTTGTTGTTCAAGATATCTTCCACAACGAAATCAATTAATTTGTTAGCTTTTGCAAGTAGAAACTTTTTTTGGGAACACAAAGCCCCGCAAATGTTTACTAGCAAATATACTATACTTATGTACTTAAGCTGTTCGAGCGTCTGTTTGTTTGTCGCTGTCACAAGCACAACATTTAAATTTACGAGACACGACCACGCCCACTGGCCAGTGCGACCAATAAACGCCCTCAACTAGAGGGGTCGCATTTGCCGTGCAAAAGTGCAAGTGATGTTTTGTGGAATGTATGATTTTTTGGCCCGATGTGCAGCTCGTTGTGAGGCGTTGACCGCAGCTGCTGCCTGCCTGCGCACTGCACACGGTGCAGAGTGGGAGGGGAGCAGGAGGGGGTGGGGGCGACAACAGACGACAGTCAACGAACTGTTAAGTGAAAATGCATTTGGAATTGCAATGCGAGTCAAATGCATTTCTAGGGTTTCCTTTTTCGTCTGAGCGCTTAAAAGCTGCCTATGCGCACAATGTGCCACCTGTGCACCTGGGTGTGTGTGTGTGTGTGTGTGCGTGAGTGCTATGCATGGTGATGCAATGAACTGGGCGTGTCCGAACGCCCACATGTCGAAGCAGCCGAAGGGGCAACTGATTGCAACTATTGTTTGAGCCGCAAACAATGCGATAGGTTTACATGCATGTATATTACGTATATACTATACACACACACACTTGCACACACACACACAGATTGTTACTTATATAAATGTATTGATCTGCGTCTGCTGCCGGTTGCCTTTAAATTGCGTTACGCCTTTTTATTGTTAGCCACATTCGCTTAAATTTGTCAAGGCATCTATAAAATGCAGACACGCTTGCTCACCCACACTCTCTCTCTCTCTCTTCCTCTCTCTCTGCCTCTCTCTCTCCCTCTCTCTTTGGCTTACTAGCCTGAGCACGCCTGGGCTATCCTTTGTGCATTATCCTTGCCCTGTCGCTTGTTAAGACATTTTTACGCTCGTTTTTGTCCATCGCAAATTGCATTTCCGTGACGGGTCAGCACAAACAGCCCCCCCTTCCCTCCCCCCTCAGTCACCGCCCCTCTTCAGGCAGCTGACCACATTATTGAATCAGTGTATAATGCCCTTTTGTACTCTGCAGCTTGCAGCATGCTTGAAACGTTGCCACTAACCCCGCCCCGCCCCTCCTCTCCCCTGCGCTGACTATCTGCGTCTGCGTGTAATAAAATCAACAGCCAAAAAGTATGCTTTAAAAAATGTTGCAATGCAGCCAAATCAAATAAACATATCAAGCCCCTTGGCCACGGTTACTGCTGGCCCTGCCCCTGCCCCTGCTGCTGCTGCTGCTGTTACCACCCCGCCTTCTGCTCTACACCCCCCCTCTTCTGCAGCTCATCTAAGAGTTTTTTCTTCTGCTTATTTTTTGCTGTTATCTTCTTGATAGCTCTGCTGCTGCGTTTCGCTTTCAGCTGCTTATTGAAAACTCGCACAGAAATCATAAACAACGCCGCGGGGCGTTCATATTCGTTTTCAAAAAACCCCGAGCTAACCCCCCCCCAGCCCACCAGCCCCTTGCTCCAGAGTCGCCATTCTAAATCTAGCTGCGGCCCCCGCTACAGTTGGCATTTATTGAAATCTGAAAAAATATAATTGCATGCTTTTAGGGTTGCTCAGCAAAATTGAAAAGCACACGCACACAAACACAGCTACACAGCTACACACACACAATTGCTTAGCAAATCAGAATATAAACTCGCACAATAGCATAAAGAAAAACGCTCGAGTTCCTTAAATCTCTTTCGTCCGCCGTTTGAATTGAAGATAAACATTTTTTTTTATAGGTTTATTTTAATTTGCCTGTTATTATGAAAACAATTTAAATTATATTTATATGAAATTTACAATACTACTTGGACTACTTTTAAGTATTTATATTAATAAAATTAACACAGTAAGGGTGAGAATATAAATCGATCTGGGAGATCGATTGGATGAGACCTCCGCAATCTCATCCGCGTTCGGACTGCTCCAATTCCAATTCCTCTTTAGAAGGCGCCTAGCCAGACGATTTGGATGGTTTCCCAATCGCGTTATGCAGTTTGCAGCCTGTAGGTTTATGACGTCCCCGACTTTGGGCACTCCTTAGTATTTTTCCAAAAAATAAATAAATAAAATATACAACAAAAATGCAGAACAAACCGAACGGCTGATTCCAAGTGGAAGATCCTGAAAGCAGCTCTTAACTCAAAACCATAACTAAAATATCAACATTTTTTTCTGAAACTTTTGCTAATTGCTTTAAAAACATTGTCTCGAGGTTGTCCAGAAGTCATTGCAATACCCTAAGCAAAGCTTCTTAACAAGAATATCTAGTGTATCTGGTATATATTCAATGTTTTTTGCATCTAATGCTTACAGTTAATTGGCCAGATCTAGTATATATAGTATATATTATAAATATACCAAATACACAGTTAATTAGAAGCAGTTAGTTAGCAGAAGTTTTGAACTTTTGGTACATCTGGCATACCTAGTATATGTAGCTGGTACATCTGGGAAATTAATTACATTCTATTCTCTTCAGTCTTCAGCTAGATACTCAACAATCAGATAACCTACATACTTACATATATATGACGCCAGGTATATTCAAGTATCTTCAATAGATATACTTAGTGTATATAGCTGGGCGAGAATAAATTGTCACTGTTTAGGTTCACGGTTTGAACCAGCCACCACGTGCCTTTTTTACATGCACATACCTCGGTTTTAAAATCAATTTAATTTTTAATATAATAAATGCCTGCTCTGCCAAAAATATTGCAAACCTTAAATATTTGCAAAAAAATTTGCGGGCCAAATTTGATCTCTGTCCTAAAATTTTAGCAAATATGATTAGGCAAAAATTTTAAATACTGCAATTGAATTCGGAATTGGACAAGTTCTGAAGAACAATAGGAATCGGTTGAGGTTTGCTTTGAGTTTCGTCTTATATTTAAAAAGTAAAATAGAATTCCTGTCGCTAGCCGTGGCATGGAGTAAATATCGGCTGATCTTTGCAATTTTTGTTGTGCCTGCAATATCTGAAATATACTATCTAAAAATGATGTCTTTGAAAATCTTAAATGAATTAAATGGAGAATTCTGCAGCTCTGTTGGAACACTCTGAACGTATTCCAAGCATATTTTTTTGCAAGACTTTGCATATTGGCGATTTGCTGGCGAAAACGTTTTGCGTTCGGGAACTGCGTCTCGGACAAGTAATTTGTTGTGCGTGACTTTAAGCAAAAGGCTCATTATGAAAACTTTTTGCAGGCGATTAACAAAAGCGACAAGGTCCTCGTTCGGCTGCCGCGACTTGACCAGGTCGGAGTCGGACTCGGACTCGGAGTCGGAGTCGGGGTGGTAGATGCCAGCTTCAAGCAGTTGCCACACGACTTGGCTGCTTTGTCGCAGCGTCTGCAAAGTTTTCTTTGGCCGCCAGGACAAAAGCACCCGAAGTAGACTAACGGGGGGCAGAGGGGGAAGCTAGCAAGGCGTTGCATACTTGCAGGCGTCGCGGCGTATGGAATACCAATTTATCATTTATCATTGTTTTTTGCCCCCTCCCCCCATCTGCAAAATGGAGTAGGGAAATTTATGTGCGCACATTTTTAACGCAACATTTAACGCGCGAAAAGCAGACGAACGGCAGGGGTGGAGAGGGGTGGGGTGCTGTTAACAAGTCGGAAGTCGCAGTGAACGGGAACGGGAATCCGACGCTGATTTACGTGGCGGAATTATGACAACAGCTCACTTAGCCGCAGCTGCTTACTCATCCTTCTCTCTTGCTCTGTCTCTTTCGCTTGCAGACATTCATTGTGCGTGGCTCCAGCCAGCCGAACACGATGGCCGTGTCGGTGCGTCTGCCCCAGGATACGGGCCCATATATCGAGCACTATCTGATCCAGTCGCAGGAGAACATACTCAGCCTGGAAAGCTCACGGTTCAAGTTCGGCTCGATTCCGGCCCTGATCGCACACTATGCCCAGTGCTGCGATGAGCTGCCCGTGCAGCTGATGCTGCCACGCGTTCTGCGCGAGGCGAACAACCGCAAGAAGCTCTCATCGCTGGCCCTGCTCGGCCAGGAGTTCTGGCGTTATGCCAGCAGTCCGGCTGTGCTGGGTCCGCCCATTGCCGCCAAGACATTTACAGCTGCGATCACAACTGCCACCTGCACCGAGCAGCAACAGCAGCAGCAGCTGCTTTTAGATGCCAAGTCGCCGCTCTCACTGACCGAGACCAGCGGCCTGGGCACAGCCACATTCTTCAGCGATGCTCTGGCCGCCGGCAAGCCGCCGGCTGTGGCGCCGCCGCAGTCGATGTTCAGCCCCACGGGCAGCGGCCAGCTGTTGGGCTTCTTCAGCCAGGCGGGTACACCGTCGGACACGAATTCGAGCATGAGCTCGTTCTCGACCAGCGGCGGCCAGCATATGCAGCTGCTCAGTCCCAATTCCGTGGATTCGGTCATACTAACCATGTCGCCGGTGGACGCGCAGGGCTATCTGCCGGGCGGTGCTGCCTTGGAGCCGCCAATGCAGACAATGCAGCCGCATGGCAGCAATAATTTGAGCACCTTTAAGACAACATCGGCGGCTGTGGCAAGCATTACAGAGCTGGAGCAGGTGCGTCCACAGCGGCCCAAGCCGCCGAACACATTGAATCTCAAGCCGCCGGCACCGCCGATGCGCTGGTCCAAGCCGCATTCACCGGATCAGCTGGGCAACAATTTTACGGTTACCACCACGGTTACATTTTCCATGGAGAACAATAATGGCGGCAACAATGGTGGCAACAATGGTGGCAACAATGTTGGGGCCAAGTCAAATCCCGCACAGTTTGTGGAGGTAACAACGCCCGCCTCGAGCAATCCCTTCAATGCGCTCCTCAACTCTCAGCCCAGCACCAGCACGTTCCAGACCTTCGCCAAGCGTCTGTCGCCCGAGGGCGAGTGCAAAGATACGCTCTCCTCGCAGGGCTCCTCCTCCAACGACAGTCGCTGGCAGTCACAATCCCAGTCGCAGTCGCAGTCCCACTCCCAATCCAGTCGCGACTCCAGCCACAGCCAGCGCAAGATTCTCTCTCCGATGACACCAAACGGCGCTGGCCTCCTCCCCGGCGGCGGCGGCGGAGGCAGCAGCAGCAAGTCACGCAAATCGCGCAACCGCAAGGAATCGAAACACTATCAGGAATCGGACATACTGGAGAGTCCGCCAGCGCAGTATTGCGCCAGCGCGCTGAGCGACAAGATCAGCGACTACGAGGACGTCTGGACGCACGATCCCAGCGATCGGGCCAGTCTGCTGACCAGCTTCAAGCCCGGTCTGGATAATCCTGGCGTTCTCAACCGACGACCCGATCTGCTAGCCGAGACACGTAAGTAGACAACCTAACTAAGCGCTATCTAGATGTTCCTTATATGAATACTTATTATACCCTTGCAGAGGGTATTATAATTTTATCGTGAAATGTGTAACGCATAGAAGGGGAGACCCCATAAAGTATATATATTCATAATGAAGTCCAAGTCCGTCTGTTTGTCTGTCCGTCTGTCTGTTTCTATGCGAAATAGTCTCTCAGTTTTAAAGCTCTTTATGAAACTTTGCAGAAGTGCCAAAATCAGCTGAATCGGACCACTATATCATATAGCTGTCATTGGAACGATCGGTCGATAAGTAGGTTCTTGTATGAAAAACATTTTTGCTTATCAAGATATCTAGACCAAACTCGGCATTTATTAGTTTTACTATGCTCCTCATATATATGCAAAATCCTATCAACATCGGACCACTATATCATATAGCTGCTATAGGAACGATCGGTCGAAAATTAAGCTGTTGTATGGAACACTTTTTTGTTTTTCAAGATATCTTAATCATACTCGGCATTAACTACTTTTCCAGTGCTGAGCATTATGAAAAGGTTGGGTCTGTCTGCAAGGGTATTAAATCTTCGGCGTGCCTAAGATAGCCCTTCTTTCTCGTTTTGGGTTCGATTTCGATTCGATTTCCCATCCCGAGATTCATGCACCGAAAACTTGTCGGAACTCAAACGACTTTTGTGGAGAAAACCCAATCGTTTGTGTTAAAAGTCGATCGAACACAGCAACTTAGAACTTGGAAAACATCTGCATACGAGATGGGATTAACCTCTCAAAACAATTTTGTTAAAGGTCTTTGCAAATAAGCTTGAGGCCGATCGAGCTGGAGTCGATCGTAATTTGTCCACACTTGCGTTTGGAATTGCCTCCACCAATCAGTCCGTTTGTCAGTCGGGATTAATATTTTTAATTATACAGATTTTTTGTAATTAGATGGAGGCTAACATACTTATCTCCAAGTCGATAAGGGAACGTTTCAGATTTCGTAGGAATCGATTCGTCAGTTGAGCCCAACTTAACTCTTTCCGCTTTTTCCTTCCTGCAGCCAGCACACCCACACAGCAGCTGCTGTCGCCCTGTGAGGAGAGCGGCGCCAATCAGGACACCAGCCAGCAGCTGATGCAGTTCTCCGGCGATGCACAGCCACGCTCCCGGGCCGGTCTGCTGTTGCCGAATCTGGCCAACGCTGGCGCGGCGCCAGTCATGACGCAGTCGCTCACCGAGCAGAGCGGCGGCGATGGCGATGATGGCGGCGATACCACGCCCACTGCCGCACAGACGCCTGGTTCGCGCAGCAAGCAGGGCAGTCCATTCTATGCCGAGCCGGCAGATGCACTGCGTCAGGCTGGCTTCACCAGCGCTGCGGCGGCAATATTGCGGCGACAACAGCGCAGCCAGCTGCTGCCCGCCAATCAACGGCACTCGGAGCCGCTCAAGGGCGGCCTGGCAACGACGGCGGCGCCGCTGCTGCTGCCCGCCGAGCTGGAGAAGCTCGCCGGCAGCCTGGACGAGCTGAAGCAGAAGCCAAAGCCAATGGCAATGGCTCAACAGCCCGCCAAGCGTGGACGCAATCGCATCGAGCACTGGCAGCTGGACAGCAGCTGGGAGTTTATGGCCAAGCAGGAGACCAACGGCGGCGACTACGAGACTGCCGCCGATTGGCAGGAGAAGGAGAATTCGTTGGGGCGCGACAAGGATGCGGCGGGCTCAAAGAAGCGTCCGCTCACCGTACACCAGATAATTGCCAAGCGTCTGCCCGACCTCAATCTGCCGGAGCTGGTGCGCTGCTCGACCCCGCCCCAGACACAGGCGACGACGACGACGGCGGCGCCGCTGCAGGAGAAGGGGAACGTCGATGGCAGCCAAAAGTCATTCCAGAGCCAGAACGGATGTCGGCTCTCCGCGTACGACAACGTGGAACGCAACTGTGCCGCCTTCTGTCAGACCTACTATGGCGGCATCGATTCGGCGCAGTCGGACGACGGCACCGTCTTCTCGGAGCCGTGGGACTCGTCCCAATGGGACTCCTTCATGCCCATGCAGGATGGTAAATGCACGACTCCCATTCAAACAAATGTTTACAGCTTGACCAATTGATTCTGTTCCTCTTCCAGATGCCACCATCAACTCAGACTCCATTCATTTGTCCAAGTGCCGACCGGCGCTCTCGGAGGACGACACCATCATCGAGGAGTTCAGCAGCACCAAAGACGGCAGCAACAGCAGCTGCAACCAGGATACGCTCAAGGCCAATAAAAATGCCACCAGCGCCGGCGCTGGCAACAACAACAACAACAACAAGGCAATACGACCCAAAGTGGCCACAATTTTAAGAAATCCAAGCATGCGGGATCGGGAAATACTATGTAAGTATTCCAGAAGTAGACTAAATACAATCCTTGGTGAAACATGTTTCGAGAGCTGCGCTCCCAGTTAAATATATATATAAATACAAATATTCCTGCGATCGCAGAGATCAATGTGATCACATAGATAGATCATACGGAAATAGGATTTGCTTCGCTCATAACATTTGATGATTGTTAGATTTCAATGAAGAAGATTTACTCTATGCAGTTATGATCCATTACATTGGAAATAAGATTCGTACAGATGCAGGCATACAAGTTAGGGGTTGGCATCTCGCACATCGATCGCATGGAATCCAGAATCTTTGATTGCGGACAAATGTTATGCAGTCCAGCATTTTCTTCAATATGAACAAAGGAAACATAGATCAAATTTAACTGGATGTTAAGTGACCGCAGTTTGATGATCGGCAACGAACACGAACCCGAAGGAGTTGCTTGAGATCTTTTCCAGCTACAGATGTCCGTTAGACTCCCAAAGAAAACAGATATTAATGAAGCTCTACTGGCTGAAAGACTGACAAATGATCGCAGGATAATGATCGTAAGATCAGTCCAGCTACTTATTATCGGAAGACATCAAATAGGAATCGGGTCACACAAAGAAAACAGACATAAATAGAGCTAAACTGGATCGCAGGATTGGATTAGTAGTTATTACGCACCAAAAGGAATAAATTCTTTACGCTGAGCTCAACTATATAGTATAAAGGGAAGACTCCAAATGGATATGGAGATAAGCTAAAAGCCGGATATCAATAACTTTTACGGTTCAAAAGGAATAATTTATAAGCATGGAACAAGGAAATCTTCCATTTCCGCTACAGTTCTATACAGATCGGCTCTTTGATGATCTATATCAGCTGAAACTTTGGATCTGGACGGTCACACTGCACAGTCGGTCATCATCATCATCATCATCATCGTCATCATCGTCATCGTATGCTCAATTGCAATCGCTTGTTATTGTTGCATCATACTACGCACCATGGCCTCCATGGAGCGGCAGACAAAAGCAAATACAGCGAGATCGTCGAGCGATAATCGTCGTCATCGTGCGCCTATTGACTGACTGATTCATTGATTGATCAACTGATCAATTGATTGATTGATTGATTTAGCGCACGGGTGAATTGCCCGTCTTCCAAACCAAATCAGCCGCAAATGCAGTCAACAACTGGCGCAAACTGGAAAACCTAGCCCAAGCGGATTATCAGCTGGCTGCGTCAGCTGCTGCTGCTTTGTAGGCCTATGCGGTCTGTGCAGTCTGCAGTCTGCAGTCTGGAGTCTGGAGTCTGCGGTCTGGAGTGTGGAGTCTGTGATCTGCAGACTACAAAGCCTTTGCCGAAACTTATCTGCCGCGCAATGCATTCGTTTGCCATATGCACCGACCCACCGATCCCCGCACTGCAGCATTAAATGGCGACGCAGTTGGCCAGCTAAGCAAATTTGATAAGTTTCAAGCGATCAACATAGAAAGATTCTCTCTCTCTCTTTCCCGCTCCCGCTCCCGCTCTCTCGTTCGCTCTTAATATATAAATATAGGAGCTGTCGACTCTGGCGGCGGCGCGTCGTGCACTTTGGAATGTAAACTGAACGGAGCTGGCTGCGTTTTTATCAGCGCGCGTTTTAAAACGCGCCGTGTGTCCCGCCGCTCAATGGGATGCGTAATTTGCCAAGCTCAAGTACGATTAGAATTTCCAACTCAGACGATTCGAATCTCTTTGGCTATTTTGGGTCAGCGCGTTGGGCAAACATCATAGCCAACGGCTGTTGCTGATGAAATGCACACACAATGGGCGCGATTTTATTTTTAGACTTGGGTCCACCCTAAACTACACGTGTTTTGACTGCTCTGCAGCCAACTCAACTGTTTGCTCGCCCGCCCACCATCGCATACAAACAAATCTAATTAGCAACATTTTCAGTTGTCAAGCTTTAGCTTTTCGACGATAAGCAAAACTCTGGATAAGCAACCGGCTGTAGAAGACGGTTCGCTGAACTTGTCTAAAAAAACTGAAATACAAATAAAACAATGTAAATACAAATAGGCCCAAGGGCACCTTGAATACCCTTAAGTTGAAAAATTGCCCCTAATTAAGATAAAAAGGCCACCAATCAAACTAACTGCTAAACGAGGCCAGAATAACTAGCCAGACTTTTTTCCCTAGCTATGTAAGGCTTGTACGGGCAGAAAACTGGCCAAGGCTCACGTTCAAGGCCCAAGTCTTGGGCAGTTTTTGCAGAAAATATAAGTAGCCCCTACAAAATGTATAGAATAGTCAGTAGTTCAATCGGCTACTGCCCTAAGATATGTCCGTTGCTTTACAACACTGCTCCTGGCTTTTAAAATCGGGTCAAGGCTCGCCCAAGTCTTGTGTAGTTCTAACAGAAAGCCAAAACAGGCCGTACGAATCAAGAGTATTCAGCTAATTGAGATATGTCCGGTATTTTACAACACTAATAATGGCTTCTAAAGGAAGAAATAGGCCAAGGTTCGCATTACAGTCTCTACTCTGGTGTTGTTCTAACATAAATCAAAGCTGTCCCTACGATATATATTATATAGAGTATTCGCCCTTATAGCTATAAAATATGTCCGGTTCTTTACAGCACTACCGATGGCTTGTATGGAAAAAATATCAAGACAAGTTTCGTATCTCAGGCACAAGTCGTGTGTTGTCGTTAGCAGAAAGTCAAGCCAGCCCGTATGATAAAGCATATTCAGTAGTTGTTCCAGCTATAAGATATGCCCGGTGCTTTACAACACTACTCATTGTCGGGATTTTCTTTCTATATAATCAATATTGTCACTTTGGCTACTTTTCAAACATTGCCAGCTTGTATTTGTATCGAAATGAGTAACACGCTACGCTAGATTATATTCCCCCTCTTTACTTAATCATATTTTGCCTTCTATCAGTTTTGCTATTTACTTAGCAATTACTGGTGCTCCGATATCATATGATTATATTTATAACAGGAAACGGGCCTTGAAAAATATAAAATCAAGAAAGAATGTTCGATTCGCAGCCAGTCTTGTATATAGGGGTTTATTATTTGTACCCTCATCAGCAGACATTGCAAAGGCCTTGTCTCCCCTTCGAAGCTTCAACTTGTTGGGAATTACAAGCGTTCAGCAACGAAAACAGTTACAGAACAGAGCAAGCCATAGTTGATATGTTGTGTATTTTACCCTGGTCATTGCCAATCATAAATCTAATAGATTATGAAATAGTTCTATGTAGACTCTCAGGGCGCACTTCCTGCACACAGACGCACTCGGGAACCTTCACAATAAGCCTCTGCTCCAAAGGTTCTTCCGAATTGCGCAGCAGTAAAAAATAGAAAGAAAGAAAAAATACATTTCAAACCAATTCCTAGAGTTGTGTTTAGGCTTTGAAAAGCTGATGCAATCGTAAGGTGCAATTGCATTAGCATTAGTCGGGAATCTCGCGCTTCGCTCATTCGGAGGAATCTTTCATTGTTGTCTTCGCGTCGCAGTCGGACGTAAACCTTAGACAGACTGTCTTAAAGCTCTCCCTCTCCCTCTCCCTCTCTCTCTCTCTCCCTTTATCTCCCTCGAATTTGTGCAATTGAATGCGATTTTCCAGCTGTGATTCTCAGCTATGATTCAACTCTTTATCTCAACAGCCTTGCGCACCGCGCCGCTCTCAAGCCCAAATCGAAACCGAGCTCTCGGCTCTCGGTCGGAATCCCTGCTGAAATACTAGCTACCTGTTCAGGCCTTTTTGCACACGTGCTATTTGTTGTCTTGAATGATTAGTGTTTTCCTAACTTAGTTAACAGATTCGACGCCTTATGGGCCTGAGTCTTGGCTTTGCGCTGTTTCATTTGAGGTTTCCATCCCCCCCCTCATCATCATCGACGTCGCCGTCCCTCTGCCTGTCAGTGCACAGCCCACTTTTGCCACTTGCCGCTGACTCAGTGGCAATTTCCTCTTGACACAGTTTTCGCTTGCGTCCGAGCTCAGCCTGATAAAGTTATGACTGGCTCAGCTTGCGCAAAGATAGGATGCAGGTAACGCCGACGCCGGAAATTCCCGAACGCGCTTCGAGCCCGGATCAACAGCGGCCCACTAGAAACTACCTGTCCCAGGCAGACGGCCGGACGGGTCGGAGGGGGGGCTTAGGCAAATTTAGGTCGCAGCGCCTCGCAAATTAGGCCGCAGCTGCGCAGTTGACGTCGCGCTAGTTGCTATCTTTTTGTCACTGTCGACGGTGACGTTGACGTTGACGTCGGCGTCGGCGCAGCGCAGTCGTCGTTATCGTTGCTGCAGTCTTATAAACTAATGCGTATGAAGTTCAGCATTAGTTTTGCATTGGCCGCGTTTAGAGCAACAACACGCAACGGCAGCGGCAGCGTCCATTTTGCAACCGTCAATCAATCAGCGATAAAAATATAGTAATAAAAATATCGATCGACGATAACGTTTTATCGATCGATAACAGCCGCAGCAGCAAGAACAGCCCATTTGCAGCGTGTGCCGATGAGAAACTTGCGTTTTCGCCAATTCGTTTTAGCTGGCAAAAATCGCTACAGAATTTATCATGAGCTGGTTCAGAAGATCGTCGCGCGCACACCCCGCGAACCGCCCGCAGCGAGGCGTGGCCGTTCACAATAATGCGAACAGTTGCCCGACAGAAACGGATATGTCGAAATCGCTGAGCAGCCTGGACGAGCAGCGCATCGAGCGACTCGAGCCGGAGGAGTTCTTTCACGATCCGGTCCATGTGCAGCACTACAAGGAGGAGGCCATGTTCCTCAGCTTCATGGCAGAGTGGGAGATTGTCGAGCATCCGCAGCACGAGAATTACTTTTCGGCCGACTTCGAGGAGGAGCTGCTGCTCAACCGCACTCACACCATCAGCAACAGCAGCAGCAGCCGCACGGATAAGCTGGCCAATTGCTCGGGAAGATCTGCGCCTGGAGTGCGTCGCAAACGCAAGTTTCTGGAGCTGCTCTTCGTGGACAACATACAGACGGGCATTGTGCCGCCCAGCGACGATGGCAACAGCCAGCTGCTGCAAAGCTCGTCGGTGCTATGCAAGAAGTCCAAATACGCCAGCAGCAGCCTCTCGAGCATTGGCTCCGTTTCGACAACGACAACTGCGACTGCAACTGCAACTGCAACAATACGGATAACAACGACGGCCACCTGTCCGCAACAGGTGCTCAAAGACTGCCGCATCAATCGCAAGCAACTGAAGACTGAAGCACTCGCCGGCTCGATAATGGGCGCCATCGGCAAATGCCCCAATCCTGAGCTGAGCACCATTGGCTCGAGCACTCTGGACGCTTGCCATCCCGGCGAGCGCAATACCTGTGATCACTATGATATCAAGCAGTTCTTTCACCTCGACGATCAGGGCAACATTTTGCTCAATATGACGCACATTGTCGAGTGCCAGGCCCTGGGCTTGGCGCTCCAGGCGCAAAGCCGTCGTCTCTATCGACGCTATCGCCGTGGCTGCGAGTGTGCCGATGAGAAGCGCACCCAAGCGCATCCCGGCTGCTGCACGCCATTCATCTGCTTGCTACGACTCCTCTGTAGGCTATTAATCGGTAAGATGCTGGAGAGGATTAGCTGGGGGGGCGGGCAGCTGTTCGAGCAGGAGCACCATCTATAACTAATTCCCCATCCCAATCATAATTAATCGACTGCAATTGCTTTCCTCTTTGCAGGCCATCCCCGCAACAAGATCAACGTACAGAGCGTGGGACCTGGCGACTCGCTGCGTGCGTATACACTGCAGCTGGCCCAAGATCCGAGCTCCACATTTGCCCGCAACATCGAGAACTTCATCAGCTGCACCAAGGAGTCCAGGGAGGCGGCGCCCCAGGTGGTGATGCGCAACATGCGCCAGTTTATGAGCGGCATGAAAAACTATCTGGTCAAGCATGGCGAGGGCAAGTTCCATGCCGAGCTGGAGTCGGCTCGAGCGCGCCTCAAGTCCGATGAGTTTCTCAATCTGGATGCCATGCTCGAGACGGTGATGCACCAGCTGGTGGTGCTGCCGCTGCGCGAGCATCTCTACGGCATCTTTGTGGACTACTACAAGCGCAGCGAGGACATCCAGCTGCTGGCCCAGAATGTGCGCTATGCCTGCGAACGGGATGCCACCGACTTTGGCATACGTGCCACAGTTACGCCGCCATCGCAGACGGCACTCCGTCTCATTGCCAATCTATTGTGGAAGCTGCAGGAGGCGGAGCTGCCACTAGACAAGCTGGAGCTCTTTCTGTGCGTCATCTCGACCGTGTTCGATGCGACGGGCTGCCCGCGCGGCCAGCAGCTGGGCGCCGATGATTTTCTACCCGTGCTGGTCTATGTGGTGGCCAAGTGCGGATTTGTCGGCGCCGAAATTGAGGCCGAGTTCATGTGGGGACTGCTCCAGCCGACTCTGCTCAATGGCGAGCCCGGCTACTATCTAACCGCACTCTGCAGCGCCGTGCAGGTGCTCAAGACGTTCATGGCCTCTGAGGGTGAAAGCGGCAGCGGCTCCCTCGACGTAAGTGCCCCAACCTAACAGCAACAACTGCAACACACTCACTCATATCTCTCTCTCTCTCTCTTTCTCTCTGATTCGTGTAGTGGCGATCAAGCTGCTTGCCGGCGTGCTCCAGCGTGCTGCGTGTCATCATACCGGACGAGTGCAATGGATCGCTGCAGACGCGAACTCTGCCGGTGCGGCCGCACACGACGACGCGCGAGGTGTGCCGGATAATAGCGCACAAGGCGCGCATTACCAATCCGCAGGACTATGCGCTCTTCAAGCTGGTCGATGGCGAGGAGACGCTGCTCACCGATGCCGAGTGCCCGCAGGATGCACGACTCGCTGCCAAGGGCAAGCACTGCATGTTGGCCTATAAGCGGATCGATGCCAAGATTGCCTGGCCGACAGCCACCCAGCCGGGCACCCATTGATGCCGTTTGTTTTTGCCGCCGACATGCCAGCGTCCGCGATCCCGCAACCGCAGTCGACCCCGCCCCCGCCCCCGACCCAGCCCATGTCCGTGTCCGTGCCCAACGGCCCCATCTTGCTCACTAACAAGCATATTTGATTAATAATTTATTATTATTACATTAAAATATACTTAGTAGCCTGTAAGTAAAGCTAATTAACGCTAATACATCTAATGTGTACTAAACAAAAACAGTATTCAGTTAAGAGCGGTTTTTTTTCTTCTCATCCATCGCCAACGACACCAACACCAACACCAACTCCAACTCCAACTCATCATCATCATGAATATCTGTATGAGCACACACACTCACGCAATCAAAAATTTTTTTTATCGCTAATAAATATACGAATATAAACATATATAAACTATGTATACAACTATATATACCATATAGATATACATATAACATATGTAGTGCGTAGTAGGCCAAAGTTATAGCACAAGGCCAATTATTCTAGAGGAAACATCTACACAGACACACATACACACACACATTCACTCTCACACACCTATACGTGTATTGCACTCTTGAAAAGCGGTTTGCAATCCAGCTACAAATACATCTACGATCTATAAGCCATATATCAATTCTTCGACCAATTACTGCAACTAAAAAACAATCACAATTTTAATAGAGCACACACACATACCCACACACATACACACACACTCACACGCCAAGGCATTTATAGCTGTTTTTTTTACTTGGGAGGGTTAAAAAATACAACACAACATCTAACACATTTATTTACATATATATAACGTATTAATATTAACGTTTAACTTTAATATTTATGTACAACTAAAACCAACAACTGCTATTGGAAATCGTAATTTTTTTTTGTTTTTTTTTTTAATGTATACTTTGTAAAATATAGCAAACCACAAGGCAATTATTTAATGAATAATAAAACAATAATAATGGAAGTTGTACAATCTGTTCCCTTTTAATTAATTTTAACTTGATCATAAAAATTGTAGCATACTTTGCGGCATGACTTGCATACTTTGCGGCCATTCACAATAGTTTATATTAGTAGTAGCACACTCTTGGGCTGGTATCTTTCTCGTATTTATCTCGCAGCCTTAAATAATTTAAAAGGCAACCATTTTAAAGTTGGCTATAACTGGCGAAACTCGCTAAATTTTGATAATCATGTTTCATGCCAATCAACGGTCGGGATCCTGACGAATCCAATGAGGTATACCACTTGAATATCTGACTTTATTTTTCCGAGATATTCAAATTTTAAAAATGTTTTAAAAATTTCAAATGTCCATAACTCGATTAATTGAAGTCCGATCTTGAAAAGATATGGCATTCTGGACTCGGGAAACTTTATAGAACAGATTGGTATCAACAATTTTTGACTTCAGAACAAACCCGATTTATGCGAAAATTGTGATGTTACCCCTTGCCATTTTTCTTAAATTCGATAAAACTCAAGAATTGAATTTTTTAATACCAATCGATAGTCGTGGTTCGTACGAGCTCGAAGAGGTATATCATTCCGAAATCGGACTGTACATACTCGAGTTATTCAAGTTTTGAACAATTTTCAAAAATTTCAAATGTCCATAACTCGATTAATTGAAGTCCGATCTTGAAAATAAATGGCATTCTGGACTCGGGAAACTTTATAGAACAGATTGCTATTAACAATTTTTGACTTCAGAACAAACCCGATTTATGCGAAAATTGTGATGTTACCCCTTGCCATTTTTCTTAAATTCGATAAAACTCAAGAATTACATTTTTTGAATGCCATTCGATAGTCATGGTTCGTACGAGTTCGAAGAGGTATATCGTTCCGATATATTTCCAATATTTCAAATGTCCATAACTCGACTAATTGAAGTGCGATCTTGGCACTCTGGACTCGTGAAACTCTATAGAACAAACTGGAATCATTTTGATTTCAGAACAGACCCATTTCTCGACAAATTTTTAATGTTACTCCCTGCAAATTTTGCGAATTTTATAATAGGATCTTTGAATGTTTATAATAGGGATCCGTACGAGTCCAAATTGTTTATTTTCAATATATTTAAAGATCAAGATCCTGAGCCGGGTAAAGCCGGACAGAAGCCGCTTACATAAATCGCCAAATTGAATCACATATTATATTATTATTTAAATAAGGAATGGGGAACAGTGCCATAGAATAAATACTTCTAACCTCAAAGTTAATATGAATATTGATTTTATAAGACAGATCTTGGTTCAACTGCTGTTCAGCACATAAATATTGAATGTGAACTTGATTTTCTTTAGGTAAATAGACTATAGACTAGTTCGAGGGCTATCTCGAATGTGGCGCCTGTCTAAAGACGTGTCCCGACTTTCAGCTGAATGGGCTCAGCGGCAAATGGAAGACGACGCGACAGATAGATGATAATAGATTTGCCAAATTGATTATTTAACCAGGTTCAAAAGCAACGCTGCTCGGATGCACACATAAGCACATTTAGTATATAAAATATTGGAAAATTAATTATCAACATGTGCCTCGACCCTTTGTGCTTTTGTGTGTGTGTGACTGTGTGTGTGATTTTGTTTTTTTCCCGTATGCAGCAATTTCACAAGACAACGACTAAATTGTCCCGTCGCTGTTTTAATCGTTAGCACAGCTATTGTTGTTGTTGCTATTTATATATGGAATTTTTAATTTTGATGGCACATTTATTTAGGTGTGATAAGGACCACACACAGCCATACACACCGCACCACACCGTACACACACCGCACACACATACGCACACGCGCACACAACTGACAACAGCTCGGGCATAAATTATACGAAAATACGTGCGCAAAAAACGCGCGCGACTTTAGCCGCGCGCAGCAAACAATTGGCAATTGGCAATTGGCAATTGCCACCCCAATGACAGAGACAGAGACAGAGACAAACGGCCGCCACTGGCCCTGGTGCTTGGTACATGGTACTTGGAAAGCCAGCTGCTCATAAATTGCAACAATTCCATCTGATAATTGTATTGATATAGCTCAAAATCGGTCTGTATGTACTCGGTCTGTATGTATAAATCGCCAACTGATCGCTGGCGAAGTCGCGTAGATCGCGTTAGCGCGTATTTGTGTGTATGTGTATTTGTGTATTTTTGGTTTGTTGCTTATCAGCAAACGTCGCCGACAGAGACAACAACAAAACAATAATAATAATAGCCACGGCAACAGAAACAACAACAACAACGGCAACAACAAGAGCAAATATAATAATAATATAAAAAACAAATAAAAAAAGGTCCAATGACGCGATAATAAACAATTTTGCACCCCAGATGTGTCCAGCTGCCCGGCCCAGAGACGCAGAAGTAGACCCCGCCAGCCAGGGGACAACCAGACCAGCGGAGGGGGTGCGGCTCCTTTGATTAGACGCACTTAAGTACAAAGCAACAACAACAACAA